ACCCTGGTAACCAATGATAAACTTTGTTCTCTATACATTTGCCTTGTCTTTTTATATAAATGAGGTCATACAATATTTGTCCTTTTCTGAGATTGACTTATTCACTCAGCATAATGTCTTCCAGTTCCATCCATATTGTAGCATGTATCCAGACTTCATTGCTCCTACTGGCTAAGTAGTATCTCATTGTATGTATGTACCACATTTTGTTTATCCATTCATCTTTTGATGGGCACTTCGGTTGTTTCCACTTTTTGCCGATTGTGAATAGTGCTGCAGTGAACATTGGTGTACAAGTCTCTGAGACTCTGCTTTCAAGTCTTTTGGGTATATACCTAGGATTGGGATTGCTGGGTCATATGGTAGTTCTGGAGCCCTGATGGTGCAGTGGTTAAGAGCTCGGCTGCTAACCAAAAAAGGTCAGCAGTTCAAATCCACTGGCCACTCCCTGGAAACCCTATGGGGCAGTTCTACTCTGTCCCATAGGGGTGCTATGAGGAGGAATTAACTCAACAGCAATGGGTTTTGGTTTCTGGATGGTAGTTCTATTTTTAGTTTTTTGAGGAACCGCCGCACTGCTTTCCACAATGGCTGTACCATTTTGCATTCCCACCAGCAATGGGTAATTTTCCCCACATCTTTTCCAATATTTGTTATTTTCCCTTGTTTTTATCTTAGCCATCTAGTGGGAGTGAAATGGTATCTCATTGTGCTTTGAATTTGCATCTCTCTGATGGCTAATAACACTGAGAATCTTTTCATGTGTTTGGTGGCCATTTAAATGTCTACTTTGGTGAAATGTCTATTCAAGTACTTTGCCCATTTTATGTTTGGGTTATTTGCCTTTTTGTTGTTAAGTTTAGAAGTTCTAGATATATTTTGGTTATCAAATTCCTGTCGGATATATGGTTTCCAAAGATATTCTCCCAGTTGGCAGGTTGTCTTTTCACTTTTTTAGTAAAGTGTTTTGATGAACAAAAGTTTAAAATTTTTATGTGGTCCCATGTATTTATTTTGTCTTTTGCTGTTTGTGCTTCTGTTATTATATTAGATAATCCACTGTTAAAAGCTAGGCCTGACAGTGCTGCCCCTGCTTTTTCTTCTAAGAATTTTATGGTTTTAGTTTGCAAATTTGGTCTTTAATCCATTTTGAATTTGTTTTTGTGTATGGTGTGAGGTATGGATCCTGTTTCATTTTTCTGCATGTGGAAATCCAACTTTCCCAGCACCATTTATTGAAGAAACTCTTCTTTCTCCATAGAATGGACTTAGCACTCTTGTCAAAAATTAGCTGACCAGAGATGTGTGGGTTTATTTCTGGACTCTCTTCTATTCCATTGGTCTATTTGTCTATTGTTATACTAATACCAGGCTGTTTTGATTACTGTAGCTGTATAGTATGTTTTAAGAAAGGCAGTGGTGATCTTTTAAAGCACTGTGGAGCCCTATTTTTAAATGGGAGGATGGACCACTGACGAATAGGTTTTCTTAGAGTTAATGATTACTAAGTGTAGTGTAATTACTAATGAACAATGCTTATGGGGGTTGTCTTTACACTAGAGAAAAAGTAAGAACTAGGCTGGATGCAAAGGTTCCACTGTTTGAGGATAAAATGTTCTAGTTGCCTCTGGGACCAGGCTTCACTTAAGGAGCCCCAGATTAGGGACGGCAGTCCTAAAGCTTCTTCCTTGCTGTGTGGAACCGGACATGTAAACTCTCTAAACCTGTAAACTAGGAGTAACTAATCGTACCTATCTCATAAAATTGTTATAAAGACTAAATCCATCAGTGCTTAAAAGGTGTTTAGCTCAGTGCTGGAGGGAAAAAAAGTTAGTTATCATGTTGTCTTCAATAAAATGCAAGTGGAGTGTCCCATTCAAATTACCCACAACTAACAAGCATTAACCCTGAGATTGGTCCATAGAGAAGGAAAGAGAATAAATGGAAAAAGAATGGTGATTCTCCTTCCTTATCTGATTCACTTGAACTTGAGTATTCAGAGAACAGAAGAAAAAGAAACAGTCAAGTAATAAAAAGCAAATGCTAAATACAGCTGGTGGCACATTCCCTATGAAATACGCTCAAGCAGGTAAAAAGTCTTCTCAATATTCTTAAATCACACAATAGTACCTACCTACAGCCACAAAAAAAAAAGCTTTTCAAACGACAGTACATGTGAAGATTTCTAAATGGTAACAAGTTATATATATAAATGTATTATCATAATTTTAGGTCTTTACCAAATTCTTTATTTCCTTCAAGGGTCAGGTCAAGACTTAACTTTTTTCATGACTTGAAAGGATCTTTCACCTTTTCTGAATTAAAATATTGTTTATGCAGTTTCTTGCACTGTCTTCACATTTGTTTATATAACCTTAAAACTGTCCTCCAGTTGTTTCATTTATGTACACCTTCTCTTAGACTAGATTCCTTGAGGCCAGGGGTCAGGATTTTCAATTTATTTGTTATTTCACACAGATCCCAACTCAGTGTTAACTTTTTAAATGAATCATACCAGTATGGGTCAAAATGACAAAATACAGCTGGTAGTCCTTTTTAGAGAATAAAACCTATATTCCTTAATTATCTCCTGTTGTTAAAGTGCTCCATTAATTATCAATTGTTTTTTCTTCTTTTAAGGTTGAACCAGCCTAAAAACCTTTGCTCATTAGGTCTTAAGAGAAATGACTTAATCTCATAGGCAAAATACACCTATTTAATGTATTTGTACATTAGATAATGTATAATATCTTCTGCTCTAAGTCTCCATGTCTTTGCCCGTCCTAGTGAATAGTTCTGAATATTCCTTATGTAATGATAAACCAATACTCACTACTGGAGTTTAACACAATATTGCAGCAAATATAATCAGTTTAAGGAATATGTTACTACCTGATAAATCTGTCACATAAAAAATATCAATACTTATGAGAGCCTTTTATGTATTAGTCTCTGTGTAGATGCTGTAATAGGGAATGCAGAAGTATAAGACAGTCTCTACTTTCAAGAAAATTATCTGCCAGTAGGAAAAGTAAGACCTAAATACAGAAAAAGTTAAATAACTTAGGTAATTTATATAAGAACTATCACTTAATCGTACAAGATTAGCTGCTATTTGAGGAATAAAAACATTATGGATGCAGAGGACGAAGAAATCACAGTGGGCAGCAGTTGCCTGTAAGTTTCCTGGAGGCAAAGCAGCTAAACAACTTAAGTCTGGAAGGAGGGTTTAAATTTGGATACGTAGGGAGGGGACTGGAGAGTGATATAAGCCAAAGTACAAAGCTAAAAACTAAATATAAAGACATGGTTGGAGGAGACAGCCAATAGGTCTCAAATTAGAATGAAGTAAGATTGTGGAAAACCAAAAAAACCTGTTGCCATCAGGTAGATTCCAACGCATAGCAACCCTAATGGACAGAACAGAACTGCCCCATAGGGTTTCCAAGGAGTGGCTGGTAGATTTGAACTGCTGACCTTCTGATTAGCAGCTGAGCTCTTAAGCACTGCACCAAGAGGACCCTAAATATCAAATCAGGCTAAGGAAATGGATTCTTTTTTCTTGAAGCTAGTGGTTCTCAACTTTTTTCACTATAATCATGATAAATTATGTTTTACTATTTGTGATTCATTCCAGTGACTGTGTCCAGATTTTTTGGGTGTCTTCAACATTCTATAAAGAAGCAAAGCCTCACAATGATTTGTCTCACCATGATCATAAATGGAGCAACCCTCCATCCTTTTCTTCTATTCACATTCTAATTTACATTAAAGAAAAGCAAAGTATATCACCTACAAACCAAACTGTTAACAAATATTGAGTTCCTTAGAAAACAATCTACGTGCTGCTCTTAAAAACCACTACTTAAGGCAATGGTGATAGTAAGCTGAGGAGTAAGATGTTGAGGGTATTATTTTAGGAGGATTCATTTGGAAGGATGAATTGGTAGAAGAGAATGAAGTAAAAGAAACCAACCAAGAGGCTCCTTTACCCATCCAGGTATGATGGCAGAGTGACAAGAAGTCAGCTGGTAGAGACAGAAGAAAGACATACCAAAATGCAAAAAACACTTAGGCTTGGTCAGTGGACTGGAAAATAGAGCTGTGAAGTAGAAGGAGTAAAAGGCAACCCTAAGAATGTAGCAAGGAAACCAAGTAAATGAGAAAATAACAGAAATCCAAGACACAGAGAAATTATAACGGGAAATACATTTAGGTTTCAAATTGAGGAGAAGACAAGTTTGATTTCAGTAACGTAGAGGGTGAAGTAACAAGAAGTCATTCAAGGGGAAGTGTCAAGCTGGAAGTGCAGGACAGGATTTGGGGAAAGATCAGGGCCTAAGACATAGATCTGAACACAAAAAGCACACAGAAGATAATTGGAATCTTTAAGGAAGAGGCATAAAGAGAGAAGAGTCAAGGATCTGGGACTAAATCTTGAAATTTAGGTCTCTCTAATCTTCACCAACACTTATTTACGGTTGCACTGTCTGTAACAGCAAAAAACTGGAAGCAAATAATTGTCCATCAACAAGAGACTGGTTAGTAAATTGTTGTAATTCTGTATGTAGATTAATATGCAGCTGTAAAAAAGAATGAGGATACTTTCTGTGCACTTATATGAAAAGATCTCCAAGGCTCACTGCTTGTGAAAAAGAGAGATGCAGTTATAATATACTTCCTTTTGGATTTAAAAAAAGGGGAGAGGGGTGTGAAAGAATATTTATTTTTGCTTGCATATATGTAACAAAAATCTTAAAAGAATATACATGAAACTAACAACAGTGGTTAGCTGGGGAGGTGAGGCAGAACCTAGGCAAATGAAGGACAAGAGTGAGAGAAAGACTTCACTGGATAGCTTTTCATATATTTTCTTATTTTTAAGGCATGAGAATGTTATTACCTATTTAAAATAATAAACTTAAAAACTCCTAACAAAAATCTATTTAACAGATCTTCACATCAAAAGCAGTATCACTGAACAGAGTAAAATGGTGAACCTGCATCACTGTCACTGCTCCGTAAGTCACAGCTGTCCAATAGATAGAGCCAACCATTATTCCCGCTGCAGCAAATGGACAGGCTTTTGAGATCAGTCTATCTGCAAGATCCAGGACGTAAACAACTGGACCTATAATACAAAGAAAACAAGTAAAATTTCAACACAAAGTAGATTTTTAAAAAAATGACTTGTTAAATATTTTCCACAATCTAAAATACTTGTATGACGCTGATGTCCTAATACTTTAGAAATAACTGTTATAAATGTGATGGAAAGTCAGATTTGAACAGATTTACAAATTTTCAGTCATCTGCATGAATAGCTAAGTTTTACTTCCTAAATTGTAGGATATTATGGATTCAGAATTTTATCTTTATTCCTGAACCTAACATTAGAGGGTCAAGTACAACTACTTATAAAGGAAACAGTCTTCTCACTTTCTTCTCAATCACACTGGCTACTGCAGAGTGAAACGGCCATTTTATCTTACTCTTCCTGAACGGTTCCAGGGAAAAATTAGATCCTCTAGAACTTGGTAAGAATATCACTTCTCTGACTTTACTCATTACTTCCTTGATATAGTGTGGAAAGGTAACCAATGCTATTTTCTTGTAGTTATACAAAGTCAATTTATCTTCTTTGATTTTCAATACGTTATATTTTAGCTGAGTATTATTCTCTAACAAACTTGCTTTTATGATCCTGATGCTAGCTTTTATGGCATTTCAACAGCTATATCTAAGTTTTAACAAAGAAATACAAAACCTCTAGATTTACTAATCATCATATTTGTTGAATACCCTCTACATACAAACTATTACTTGAGACATTTTCTTAGACTGTATAAGACTTGTTACCTACCTTCTGGGGGTTTACAATCCTGTACACAAAAGCAATTTATTTTCATTGTACGAAGAAATTAATATAACAAGATAACATAGTTAAACATATAAGAACAAGGTATGCATCTATAGAGTCCCTGGTCAAGAGTCCCCCTGATCGTTGGGCCAGTAATATCACTAGTCACTGTATAAAGGGAGAGCACGTTGTAAAATAGAAAGAACATTAGGAAAGATGTCAACGGACCTACAATTTAAATGTAGCATCTTTACTTATTATTGTCAAACTCTAACTTACATATTTAAAACTATTATGTATCTTTTGGGACCAAAGAGGTAAAGCAAGCCTAATTCAGTGCATACTGACTCTTCATCTTCTAATAATAACAGACAGAAATTTCCTGAGTGCCTATATGATACCACTGTGCCAGCAGCATGCCATGCATCATTATTATTTAATCTAATAATAGGGAGTTTAATCCTCAAAATAAATAAATTTACTAGGTTAAGTTTATAACTCTCTCAGAAGGCATGAAGTCATCTTAGTGAATAAGCAAAGAGCCCTCAAATGCTGGTACTAGAAGCTAAAGACCATAGATATATTAAACCTCAGCACCTTAACCTTCATATTCTCTATTGTTAATTTTTTAATCAGAAAATTGAAGCTACAAGAGAACATCTACAGACTCCCTCCAGGACATGTACGTGCCTACCAACATCCCACCTATCTGAAGTCAATCCCTTCAGTTGTATATGATCCCATCCCACCACCAACACAAGGCCACAGCTCCAGCAATTCTCCCCCACCTCTCCTACATTATTTTTTTCCTTATTCTTTACTGGATCATTTCTAAACAAACATACTATTATTTCTTTTATCTTAAAACAAATTTTTCTCTTGATCCTTTTTTTTCCACTGCTTCATTTATTGCTCCTTTTGCACACAAAACTCTCCACAGAAGAGTTGTCTCTACTCACCTGTCTTTATCTCTCTTCTTCAATTCTCTCTTAACTTATTCAAGGTCACTAACAACCTCCACATAACTAAATCCAATGCTCCAAGATCAATCTTCCTCTTACTTGGCCTATCAGCAACATTTGACACAGGTGATCCCTCCTTCTGTCTGATATATGGTTATTCATTTGATTTCCAGGAGATCGCTATTCTCTTGGTTTTCTTTTCATCTTACCAATCACTCATTTTTCAATTTCCTTTGTTGGTTCCTCCTCTTCTTGACCTCAACCCACATGACCAACCCCTACCTCATCATTCTACCTTTTTGATTACTCTGCTCTATTTTTCTTTTCATCAAAGCATTTATCACATAACACACTCTTAGTTACTTACTAATTTTGCTTCTATCTACTAGAACAGCAGTTGAGAAACTACAGCCCAGGGGCCAAATCCAGCTGGCTGTTTTTGTAAATAAAATACTATTGGAACAAAGCCATACGTAAGGCCTAAAACACTATCTAGTCCTGTACAGAAAAAGTTTGCTGATTCCTTGCACTAGAACATAAACTCCAAAGGGAAAATGACCTTTTTTTGTTTTGTTCACTGATGTATCCCAACTGCCTATGACTCTCAAATATTTGTTGAACTGAATTCTCTATTGAGGTATTTATTTAAAACTATGAGATGACAATCTCAACTCAGTACGTTGTCCAAGTTATAAGACTATTTTCTACCCAGTCAGAACCAGAATTTATCAGGAAAGAAGTTATTTTACATGCTTCCAATGTGTCATCTTCTCCCTTCTTTCCAACAAGGTACTTCTTTTTACAATCACTTCTTCTTCTCAGGCTTGCCACTTTTAGCATAGCCCCAGTCTATATCCTAACATTTTAAACAAAGCCACCATTACAAATTAATGGTTTGTATTCTCCACGGCATTTGTCTATTTATCTTCAATGCAGATGGAGATCACACTGTGGTAAGATTACTCCTATTTATTTATAGGCAACTATCTACTGATAGAGTGAAGCAATACATTTCCTAAAAAGCAATTAATTGTTTAGATGAATACTTAATAGGTAAAAAGTAACGTATCATCACCACTTTTCTCTGTCATGAACATGGACAATTTAGAGATGTCTGAATTTCCTTTCCTGGGAGGATCTCAGAAGGTTCTAACATAATGAGCTCAATTTTCTTCAAAGATCACTGAGTGAAAAAGAGCAATAAGCCAAAAACAAAACACCTCTACTTCCTTTTGAAAACTTTCTATACATTCCTGGGCCATATGCAAAAGAGCCAGATTAAATGAAGCCACTGGCTGTATTTTATATCCCCTAATTCCAGTTTCTCTCCAACAAAATTCTGTCTAGGCTTTTGTTCTTTAGTTTACTTTGCCTAAACCTCTCAAGGCTCTTCCAGATAGACTAGTCCAACATTAAATATTTAAAGGAAGGATAAATGCTTCGTGGTATATAACATTAGAATAAAAAACTGCCACCCAGCAGAGGCATTTCTGAGAGCTAAAGACTATCTAGGCAAGCTATATTATTATTTGAACAATCATTAAAATCCTTTGGATGACAGTCCCTAAATCATACCCTTTCTATTCAGAAGTCTGTTAAGTAATACAATCTCATGACTTGGGGTCATAATCTTAGGAAAATAGCAACAGTCACTAGATTCTTGTTATAGTCAGATCACAATACAAAGAGTGCTATGAGGAAGTGAGGAAAGGCAAGACGTAAGCCCTTGAAAACCTCAACTCTAACGGAGAGGAAGAAGTATGAATAAATGCTCTCACAAATAAATGCATAAAAAGGTTTTAATATTTTAAAAAGGCATTATTGAATTTTTAATGCCTCAGTGGGCCTTACCACTTATGTTTTCAACAGCACTGTATTTTACACAATAGCTAGCAATTGAAGCTTTGGATAAATAAAAGTTCTGAAAATCCAATAATATAAAGAGGACAATTTGTTGTTGGGTGCTGACTAGTCAATTACAACTCATAGCGAACCCATGTGACAGAATAGAAACTGCACCATAGGGTTTTTCTGGCTGTAGTGTTACGGAAGCAGATCGCCAAGTCTTTCACCTGTGGAGCTACTAGTGAGTTCGAACCAACAACCTTTCGGTTAGCAGCCGAGCACTTAACTGTTGTGCTACCAGAGCTCTTTAGGAGAAAAATTATACCCTAATATTTTGGATAAATTTAAATTTTCACATTTCAGATTTCAGTAACATAAAAAAAGTGAGCTAAGAACTACTGGGCAACTCTTAAGTCCGTGTTTATTGAAAAAGACCTAATCAGTATTTTTCTGGTAGACACTGCAAAAGTAGATTTTCTGCAGCCATGATTCAAATTCAAGTCTAGGTATAAATGGTTGGTTGTTAAAAACACATCTTGGAAGATAAAAATTAATAACTGAAGGGCAGGTAATCCTTAGTGTTCAACATCTGCTGGCACTGTTTACAATAACACCCAGAACACCCATGACCTTTATCTGGGATAGAAAGGTATCCTCAAAAACGTCTATGACTAAGTCATGAAACACATAATTTCTATACCTTGTCAGAGCTAAAGTTCCTTACACAAAACATGATTTAATGAGTATATACAGGTGCTTAATAAGATAACTTCTTGTAAATTCCTGAGAAGAAACCAGTTCCCATGAACTCCAAGGTTTCTGTTAAGTGGCCAATGGTTTATAAAAGAGATTTAACAAGCAAAATAGACTGCCTACAGAAATCACTCAAGTTCCCAGGTTTTTATAGTTTGCTTTCTGTTTTGCATTGAACTGGTTTTGACCTATACCCAGCTCAAATGCCTACCTGCTAAACTAAAACACCAACCCCACTTTCATATTCAGAACCATCCAGAACTGCGGATTCTTGAGGTCATGAAGAGTCTGTTATAGTTCTAAACTTCTCCCCTCGTGTCCAAGTCTTCTTTATGTTGCACTCTATTTCTGGAATGCCCTGTCCCTATCTTTGATAAGTCTGTATGAAAATCCAATTTCCCTGTGAAGACTATCCTAACTTGAAAGAGGCTGACTAATTCCTCTACCCCACTCTGTTTAAATAACCATGTCCCATGAGTCTCCCTTTACACACTACCCCACAAAATGCACTTACCCCTTTGCTTGTGCATAATGTTAGTACTTTATGTTCTTGTTCAGTGTTTGTTCAGTTGTCTCAATATCCTTTATGTCTGTCCATGTCAGCATCATCTTAGATTGAAAACTCCCAGGGGGCAAGGGCCATGTCTGTTTAACTCGTTTTGTACAGTGCCTAGGATAGAACCATGTATAGATAGGTGCTTAAAAAATGCT